GGGTTTCGTCTCCACTGAGCCCTCTTCCTCCCACCGGCGGATCCACCTGCTAATCGTCTTGGTGCTCCTCCCCACTTCGACAGCATTGTTCGGCACAGTTGCCCCGGCTCTCCACATCTCGATGATTTGGCCTCGCTCAGACAATCACTGCCGACGAATTTGCTCGTCCTGCAGGCATATCTGAAATGGCAGAGTAATATTATGTTGTGGTAACTTATGCAGGCTTTTATATACAGTACTAGAGTAAATTAATGGTATTAGTAACACCTAGGTTAAGTATTATTACTCTGACATAACGTTTTGGTATATCTTTTTGGATCAACTGCCCAAGAAATCCTTCCTATTTCATGTATTCATAGTGAACTGCAAGTGGATCCTCCCCCCCCCCCAAACCTCCACCACCACCCCTGCGACTGTAGAGTGAACATTCGCCGATAATCATCATCATCATCAAGATTTAGTTTAACCAGACCAATGACACCCATTTGAGTCTCTCCTAGGGCTGGCCAGAGGGATTAGTTAACATATATTTCTGTTTCTATAATTTAGTGTTACAGTACTGTATATTGTTTGGGGGAGATTACAGTATTTCAAAAAGGTCAAAACTGAACTTAGCAAAAATTTTGGGGTCTCTGCTAAAATATCTTACATTGTAGGGTTAGTGAAGCACATTGTTCGATACCAATTATAAATAGGGCATTCAATGAGAATATGTTGGACTGTTATTTGTGTTCGGCAGTTGGAGCATATAGGTGGGGCTCCATTAGGGGAAGACAGGAGTTGGCCATGCGTCAATTGCGTATGCCCAATTCTTAGACGATTCAGAATAGTTTCTTAATGTCGAGAGGATTGTTTTGATGATGACCAAGAATAAACTGATGGATGATTTGATCATTTTTAGCTTATGACTTGTTGGTTCATTTTCCCGGGACTTTTGCCAATCATCAAATATTAATTGTTTATAGGTAGTTAGCCTCGTCGATAATCAAAATATATGGTTTTCCACTGCTTCACATATTTCTTTGACATTTTTCAGCTATGACATGTTCGTCCCAGATTACATATAACTGTAATAGGTTACATTACGTTAGGGTTCATTATATAAAAACGTTTTTCTTCATGTTCATGGAGTCGTTCTGAATTCCATTTCTGCTCAAAATACTACATTACCCAACCCAAACTCCCAGGTTGCAACTGGGGGTGTAACATAACCGAGTAAGGTAAAGTGCGGCAAACGCATAGCACATCAAACACCATATTTTTATGTTGAAGTTAACTAAGGAGCTCATATAACAACTGTCATATAATTATAATAGGGTGTCCCACTAATTACAGCAGATATTTGTAGAGTTGAAAGAATATGTGATTCTGAGTATAAAACTTCTATACTGTACATATATGGATTTTTCGGTTTACGTTTAGCCGTGAGGTGGATTTTACAAATTACGCAAGGCAACCATTACAAATGGCGGGGTCGAGGCGGGAGATACCGATAGCGATAGCAAAATATAGGAAAGGGGGAAGAAGGTTTAGTAGTGAAAGAATGTGGGTTAAACGGAACAGACTTTTAGGAGGAGAGAAAGTGTGTGGCCTTCTGCCCACTGCATGGTATTGGGTGGTAGGTTGGGGTGACTGGGGCGATGGGAGGGAGGAAAGGAATGTGGAGAAAAGAAGGCGAAAGGAAATGGAGGGCCCATCCCTATTTGGGTGGGGTGCACCTCATCTTTAATTTGTTTGGAGGGCCCATTCATTATTTTTTCTGAGTAGGGTTACACTTTTTATTATAGATAGAGGGAAACGGATGGAGATAGAGACGTGGTGGCTCAATATCACATATTCTTTCACCTCTACAAATATCTGCTGTCACTCATGGGACACCCTGCAATAGTATAAGGACGACATGGGCTATGCTGACAAATTAATGTGACTTACCTGTTGGTGACGACGATGGTAGGAATGAGACCTCGGCATGTTTCAGTGTTCGACATCATCTCCTTCCCCTGGTGTGGGTGGCGCCAACCTTGGTAACAACTTGTGTATTCTCCGTGACTACCATTACTGGTAGTCATGGAGAATTAATTACTGGTGTGCCCATCAGTCTCACCGCCGTAGCCATGAACGGCAGAGATATGGTCGTTGTAGTGCTTTTATTTACCCGTTACACATCTCTCACCATGCTTAATAATATTAACTATCTTCATGACATTCTTATTGTTATCAGTGATTGCGGAATTCACGATGTTATGCTCCACCTACACACAGCCTGTTACTAGACTAACCCTCCCACACACACACACTACAGTGGGCGACATCTGTTGGCCGACCATAGCATTTCCCCCAGTTGTTTCGAAACTTCAGACTCAAGGCTATTCGAATCCTCACTGTGGTTGGGTAGTGGACATGACTTTGGTGCACGATAGTACATTAAACCCTCAACATTCGCGGGGATCAGATTCCTCTAAAACACCGTGAATGTCAAATCCACAAATATTAAACTTAAGACCTTATGGGGAAAATGGGGTTACGGGATCCACTCATTTGAAGAGGTACCTTATATCAGTACAGTCTCTCCTCGACTTACGACGGGGTTCCATCCTGACGACCAGGTCGTATGTCGATTTGGTCGTAAGTTGAAAAGGCGAAAATAATACATAGAAATTCTTAAATGAAATACAGTACAGTAAAAATAATGAAAAATGAATAAAGTGTTACTGTGCACTTACCTTTAATGAAGTCAGATGAATGCACACGAGGCCTCAATAATTTTTTAATTAAGCATGGAGACTACATTAATTGGATGACAGTGAGCGAAGGGTCACTTTCCAATTGATCAAGGATTCCCTTGAAGGTGCAGCAGTTGTAATAGGATTTAAAAATAGCAATAAGACCCTGGTCCATCGGCTGGAGGAGTGAGGTTGTGTTGGGAGGTAGGAAGACTATTTTAACTTGTGGGTGAGCAAATTGAACATTTTTAGGGTGGCCAGGTGCATTTTCCAATATTAGCAGGACCTTAAACGCCAAATGCTTGGTCTTCATGTACCGTTCCACCTCGTTGGCGAAACAATTGTTTAACCAGTCATGAAAAACTGCAGCAGTTAACCCACTCCTTGTTGGCTCACCAAAAGACAGGGAGGTTATTCTTGTTTTATCCTAAAGGGCACGAGGGTTCAAGGACCTGTAGAGCAGCATCGGCTTCACAATAAAGTCACCAGCTGCACTGCTGCAGAGAAGAGTAAGGCAGTCCTTAGCCACCTTGAACCCCAGAGCAGATCTTTCATCCTTGGACAGGAAGGTGCAGTTTGGCATCCTCTTCCTAAAGAGATTAGTTTCATCAGCATTAAAGACCTGTTCCAGCCTGTAGCCCTGCTCCTCTATTAGTTCCTTTAATTGCTGCAGGTAGTTCGCTGTAGCAACATGGTCAACCGATGGTGATTCCCTCACTAGTTTCACGTTATGGAGGCTATGGCGTCTCTGGAAATTGTCAAATCAGTCTTTGCTGGCATGGAAGCTGAGGGAAACAGCAGTGGAACTGGATGCTTCACCACTAGAACCTGCTTGGATATGTTCGTACACCCGCTTCGGTTTCTCCCTTATCACTGTACCGCTAAGTGGAACTATTTTCTGTGATTGGTCTTATATCCACAAATTCAGGGCGTGCTCCATTTTTCCAAGCTAGTGTCATGGGTTTAAAATGTTACTTTAGCACTTTCTTGGGCACTTGCAGAGACACACAAATATTTGCCTCATTTTTTCCTGATTGAGCACACAGTTGACAAATTAACACCATAATGGCATCCCACAGCTGCTGCATTATCAGCCCTAGCAAGGCAGTCAAGCAACTCCACTTTTTTACTTAAAGGCATCACTTTATTCTGCCTCTTTGCACTTGATCCACTCACTGTACACTTAGTAGGCATAACTAAGAACAAAAAGTCACCAAAAAGGACAATAATACTTAGCGAATAGCTGAGCTGCATGTGTTACTGTCACTAACTGAGAGAGAGTGCTATGATGCATGGCATCCAGCAAGGTATGGTCATGTACAGTAAACATGAAACACAAGCATCCCACGGACCACAGAGCTACAGGAAAACGCGACCAGAAACTGTGAATAACCAAACCTCATGCCTGCGAATAATGAACATGTGTTTACCTACCTGTGAATAATCAAATCCGCGAAAGTTAAACTTGTTTGAATGTTGAGGGTTTATTGTATTACAGTCTTTATCAAGTTTGTTAATATGGTGGGTTATTGGACTTAAATGTAGAATTTCTCTCTCTTTGATAGCTGGTCTGTTTGGTAATTTCATGTTATGTAATATGTTGCATTTAAATACCAATTTCATTATTTAATGCAAAATTTTAATTGTAACTTATGGTAGCAACATTTTTGTCTTTGAAACCACTTGTCTATAAATCATGTGTAACACAACTATCTTCGCTAATGTTATTACTGTACTAATTTGTTAATTAAAAAATTCCTGTACAGTGAACCCTTGAAGATCTGGACTAAAAGGAGGGACCACCTGTCTGAAAAAGCCGATTGTCTGAATCTTCCGGCAAATGTACTAAATGTATAAAAACGATAAATAATGATATAAAAAACACTAAAAATACAGTACATATTATCCTGACTACTGGGGTTCATTATAGATTTTTTCCTGTGAAAAAGCCATAATTTTGAGCAACATTCCTGTACTCACTTTGTACAGGTACTCACTAAAGGAGTAAAATTTTTATCTCTTTTGCAAACTACCGTATGTAATGTCTATACTCAGATTATTCGCTGTCTTACAAGGATTCCAGTAATACAAGTTATATTCTGCTAAGTCTAGTCTGTGACATTTTATAAGATAAAAACTTTAAGCCTGAAACTACCTTCACCCTGTTTTGGGAATGCTTCTTAGCCCAGAACCCCAAAAATTTTTGTCTGAATCTAACGAATTCCGTATCTTTGAGGGTTTACTGTAATAAAATGGAAGAAATATGAAAAAGTTCAGTCCAGTCTTTGTTCTTATTTATTATTAAACTGGGATTCCCAAATGGCAGGTCCATAACAGTTGATATTACATTACTGTTCAACCAAAAAACTGACCCAGTATGTGACCCTATCTACTCCTAAACCCATATAAACTAATAATGGTATTGAGGAGTCATCACATAGCTAGAAAGCAGTTACTGAAGGCATTATGCTAAATAGGGAAATAATCACTGTTACGAATTCTTTTTTCTTTTTTTCATTAACTATTATTATTCCTTTAGTTAACAAATATAAAGGATCTTGTGCTGAAAAACCCAAAAAGATCAATTCTGAAATTGCTTCACACTGCATAGAATGGGGCACTAAGTGCTCATCATATAATGTTACCAGAATATTTCAACATTTCCAAGCAGTAAATGACTGAGCACAACTAGCTAATGACTTATTGCACAACAGTAATAGTACTATAACTTGGGACTTACAAAAATGTATGCTACTGTGAATAATTTCTTGGTACTGTATATAAACAACAGAATAAAAACTGTATTATCAGTAGGACTGTTTTCAAGGGAAATCAGTGAGAAATAAGCTTGGATAGACAGAATATTAAGGGATAAAACTAAGTGTTTGAGCAGGACATTTTCAGTGGAATGACAAAATTGCTAAAAAAAGAAAAGAAAAAACATAAAATAACAAAAAAAGTGCCACATAATCATGGTAATGTTTGCCGATAGGAAGATGTAATGAACATAGTTCTGTATAAAAATTAAACTTGACTGTTATAGAGGAATGTCTTCAAGAGGATAGGCAGCTGATATGGACTTCTTGTGTGTGGCAAATTTTCAAATTTGACTTAAAAAATTAGATTACAGCACATAAGAAAATTTGATGACTAGGTAAGTTAGTATGAAATGGACGAGCACTAGAGTATAGTACAGTAGTGATATGGTCATATGATCTGGACACAAACAGTGAATAGACGTGGAAAAAACGACATTAAGAGCAAACTTCACTGACACAATTGGGAGAAAGTGCACTACTAAAGGTCTGGTATAAAGTGTCTCAAATCTAAAGTAGTGTCCCAAACTGAGTTTCCTTCATATACTATACAGTATAAACCTTTGTTACACACTACATTATACAGGTATATATACCATATTAGGTCTAGATCACAGCACTCATAACAGCTAGCTGTTGGGATTTTTTCACAAGCCTAAAAAGAATGATAGGCCAGTGAAGGCAGAAAAGACGGCAGTACATAAGAAATAATTATTGTAAGAGCGTCTTCGAGACTGTGTATGCCGGAGGGGGACATAAAAAAGTAAGTACATTCTTGACATCCTTTCGTGATTTCCATTCAAAGATACTTACAGGTAGTCCTCACTGTTCATTTATAACTTTTTTTTTAATTAAAGTGCTGTAATAGGAATATTTCTTTATAAATAGTAAAATCAAAATTCTTTAAGGGTTATTTTGTCCAACTTTTACAACAGTTATGACAGTTACTGTATGCCATCCTTAGTACAATAGTTCATTGTGCAATATCCAATTTGCAGACTGGTCATTCAATTTTATTGTCAAATAATATTCTACTAGACTAAACTGGAGACTGTATTACATTTTGTATTAAATTATTTGTAAAATGGCTAAAACCTTTTTTACAACTTAAAAAGTAAAGCAAAACATTACAAAGTATTACCACTAGGCTTCAGGTCATGTCATATGATGTGCGTCTGTAGAGTTTCGGGTCACGTCATATGACGTTTGATCTTTCGTGAACCTATTTGAATAAAAAGGGCAGGCCTGGCTAGATTATGTTACAAAGTAGGTATTTATCTTTCACTCATGCACACAGGAGAGATTACCAGTCTCTCCTTAGCTTTTGTGATGTAGGAATTTCGTCCTTGGACTTGACTCACTTCTCTGTGTTTCTATCCTAACCCTCAAGCACATGTCTAGTATCATGATCAATTACCAGAGCAGTAATAATTAATGCTAATAGTCTAAATAGTAATAACATAATAAAAAAGTGTCCTTTACCTCATACTGCCTACAAATTAGTGTTGGTTAAATCGTACTATAGCGTCACACACATGCCACTTCATGAAAGTTCTTGAATCTTCCTAGCCCGTGTTGCCAACCTGTGATAATGAGATGTATTTATTTCCTGTTTATATTATGTATGGTTACATTTTAAGACTAGAATTTCATTTTATATATTTTTTAAAAGTACAGTATTCCTGAATATATTTGCATGGGGGGGTGGGGGGAGAGATGCCGACCATAGTCCAAAGCCCAGGGGTAAAACAAATTCTTCCAAACAACAGTACAGAATTGGACGTTTTGTTTCAAACACAAGTGAGCCATGATTTGCCTTAGTGTACAGTACAATATTCAATTTTTATATTATGGACTCATAAGTGTTCAGTAAGTGAGTGCTGCACCATGAAGTACAGCAGCCAAGAAAAGCAACATGACACTGGAGCAAAGGCTGACAATCATTGCAGCATGACACGTTTGATATTTCATCGTAATACTTTATAATATATATATACAGCTCCTCCCCGACTTACGACCTACTCGACTTACGACCACCCGCCCTCACGACCTGCCTCAGTCGTACCAAAATTGTCAAATTACGTATTTTTGAGTCCCAACGTCAGTGATTGAGCTGTGTACTGACAACATTTTCGTTTGTAATTCACTTTAAAATGGCTGGCAAGCTTAAAAGTGAGAGTTTTGTGGTGCTGAGAAGAAAAAGAGACACCCATTATAGATTTTCTATGTATTATTTAAGCATTTTTGAATTACGACCTGGATTTGGGTCCCTAACCCCGTCGTAAGTCGGGGAGTGTATATATATATATATATATATATATATATATATATATATATATATATATATATATATATATATATATATATATATATATATATATATATATATATATATATATATATATATATATATACATATATATACACCTAGACCCCGACTTACGACGGGGTTAGGGACCCAAATCCAGGTCGTAAGTCCGACATGGTCGTAAGTCCGACATAGATAAAAAAAAAATTTTTTTAATAAAAAATCTACAATGAAATACAGTACAGTAAAAGTAATGAATAATGATGAATGGATACAGTACAGTGAAAGTAATAAATAATAAGGAATGGATACAGTGTGACTGAGCACTTAACCTTTAATGTAGTCAGCTGAATGCACATGGGGCCCCCATAATTTTCTAATTATACATGGAGACTACATTAACTGGAAACGTTTCGGTATAGAAAATGCGTGTGTCATTTAAAAAAAAAAAAAATTTTTTTTTTTATCTATATCTGAGACGGTCGTAAGTCCACGTAGTCGTAAGTCGGGGTCTAGGTGTATATATATATATATATATATATATATATATATATATATATATATATATATATATATATATATATATATATATATATATATATATATATATATATATATACAGTGGGGTATGCTATAACGAACGTAATTGGTTCCAGAACCTCGTTCGTTATAGCATTCGTTCGTTATAGGATTAATCCGTTCCAGGCCCCCAAATACAACCACCTAACACTGAAAAAATTCTGTGGAAAATGTAAAAAATACAGTACTTTATCTTACCTTAGTGTTATTCAGCATGCAGGTACCCCTAAACACTGGCACATCACTATCACTTCCACTGGGAGTCTTGGCTTTAAGGTCCTCAAACAATTGTCTGGCCTTCTCACAAATTATAGCTTCACTAATGTTACCACCTGCCATTTCTTTCTCCTTTATCCACACTAAGAGTAAATTTTCCATCTCTTCAATCACATTACACTTTGCTTTGCTAAGTCTAAAGATTCCCTTTGCCACTTGCACAGTTTTTAACTCCCCTTTATTCTTCAAAATCGTACATATAGTCGATTTAGCCATCCCATATTCATCACTAAGTTTCGCAATGCTTCTTCCATTCTCACGTTTCTTTATAATTTCTCTCTTAGTTTCAAGGGTTATTAGCTTTCTCACTCGCTTTGGACGACTCATTGTTACAATTGTATACTTGTACAGGTAGTTCTGCTATAACGCGATAATTGTGTTCTTGTAAAATATCGTGTTATAGAAAATCGCGTAATAGAAATAACAGGGCTTATGGAGAAAATAGGGTTAGGTGCAGATTACTCGAAATCGAAAAAATTTAGTAGTTAGCCTAACACAAAGGATAGCACAGTCTAAATAAATGTTACATTCATATCTAATAATGAAATCATACAGTAAATGTAACACTTTACTTGATGGGGGAGAAGGGTGATTTTGAGGTTGATTAAATCGAGCTTCTCTTCAAGTGTTATATCCTTTCTTTTACGATCATCACCGGGAATTCTATCACCAGAACGCTTCTTGTTGATATTCTTCTTTACTATATTCACAGTTAATACTGTACCACAAAATTGGAGAAATAGTAAGCAAAAATCGCGTTATAGCAAACAAGCGTTCGCGTTATACAAATATCGTTCCTAATTCATAAATCGCGTTAGAGCAAATTCGCGTTATCAAAACACGCGTTATAGCAGAACTCACTGTATAACAAAATAGTTATACAAATAACGCGAATTTCCACATCAAAAGACGAAATTTCAACAATAACAGTGGTGCACTGGCTACACAATGAGACAAAGATGGCGTCTGACGCTCTTGTTGTGGGTCGCGGTACAACAATATTCATGCGCCAGGCGAAATAGTCCCGTATTCATCCGCGTTCGTTGTAGGAGTTACGTTCGTTATAGGAATATTCGTAGTAGGATCCGTTCATTATAGCATACCCCACTGTGTGTGTGTATATATATATATATATATATATATATATATATATATATATATATATATATATATATATATATATATATATATATATATATATATATATATATATATATATACATATACACACATATATATATATACACAGTTGTACCCCACTTAACGCGGTCAATTGAACCCAGAGGGTCCCGCGTTAAGTGAAATCCGCGTTAAGTGAACAACAGAACATATGGGATTAATTCCAATAGAAACCGGCCCGACCCCCAAACTCCACTTTTTGAAGGCACATACCTATGTTGTAGTAAAAATAACATCTTAATTTTATGATGGTACATGCACACAATTAATACTTAAGAGAAATAGAGAAATACAGTCGCCAAGTTAATGTCCATTCAAATAATGGACTCAACTCCCTCCCACTCTCACACTACACTGCCGGCTCTTCCCTCTCGGAGAAATTTTTGGGGGAAAACCACTAAATTTTAATAAATAATACCTCAAACTAAAGTTAGGATAATACAATTGACATTGCTGGATTCCTTGTAAGACCAGGAATATTTTGAATATAAATGTCATATATTTTGCACAAAAGATAACATAGTTACCTAGAGAAAATTTTTTATCTAAAAATTGTATGTTTAATGCAAAATATATGATGTTTATATTCAAAATGATCACCAAATTATAAGAATTCCAGCAATGAAAATTATATTCTGACCGGGTAATTTGTATGAATTTTATGAGCTAAAACAAATATCTTCAGTTAATAAAAAAAAAAATAATCTTCACGACACTATCTGTCAATCAAAGTACCCCACCTTGCCTCCCCCCCTCTTCCAACCGCCCGGTCAGTCCCAACCCTCCCCCCCACCCACCACCAATCCTCCCTTCCAGAGTTTTTGACATTTAGTATTAAATAATACCTCAGATTAAAGTTAGGATAATATAATTGACATTGCTGGATTCCTTGTAAGACCAGGAATATTTTGAATATAAATGTCATATATTTTGCACAAAAGATAACATAGTTAATTTCAGAAAAATTTTTATCTAAAATTTGTATGTCTAATGCAAAATATATTATGTTTATATTCAAAATGATCATCAAATTATAAGAATTCCAGCAATGTAAATTATATTCAGACCGGGTAAGTTGTATGAATTTTATGAGCTAAAACAAATATCTTCAGTTAATAATAAAAAAAAAAAAATTCTTCACGGGGTAACAGATGGTCGGTCGGTCCCTCCCTCCCCCCCACCCCCCACCAACCGTCCCAAGGAGATGTGTGGGATAACCACTAAATTTTAATAAATAATACCTCAAACTAAAGTTAGGATAATATAATTGACATTGCTGGATTCCTTGTAAGACCAGGAATATTTTGAATATAAATGTCATATATTTTGCACAAAAGATAACATAGTTACCTAGAGAATTTTTATCTAAAAATTGGCCATGTTTAATGCAAAATATATGATGTTTATATTCAAAATCACAAGAATATAAGAATTCCAGCAATGTAAATTATATTCTGACCGGGCAATTTGTATGAATTTTATGAGCTAAAACAGGCAGTCAGGCAGGGTGGGGCAAATCTAAAAATAGCATCTCGAGCCGGACACTCACCGCGTATATGTGGAAAAAATCCGTGTTAAGTGAAAGTTCAGCTCTGGCGAGGCACCGCGTATATGATAAAACGCGTTAAGTGAAACCGCGTTAGGCGGGGTAATACTGTATATATATATATACAAAAAATAAATGTTAAATGAATTATTTATGGTGCATTAGGGTACTGGTCACTTGAGACACAAAGACGGGCTATAAATAGCCTTCTTCATCTCCCCTCCATCTCACCCTGAGCCAGAGGGAAGAGTCATGGTAAATAACATTTGTTTGCTTATTTTCCATTTACTTGAAATAGATTTACCGAATTATTTGTTTACAGTTGGTCCTCATATTACGCGGTTAATGTAACCCGGAGGGTCCCGCGGAAAGTGAGGAACGCGTAAAGTGAACAACATAACATATGGGATTAATTGAAATGGAGTCCAGGCCGATCCCCAAACTCCACTTTTTGACGACACACAACTATGTTGTAGTAAAAATTTTATCTTAACTTTATGATGGTATGAAAAAACAAGTAATATAGAAGAGGTTAGGTTAGGAAAGATAAAGGTTAACATAGGAAAAATAAAGGTTAGGTTAAAAAACTAAAAATTTTGTGTAACACTTACGGTAGTAGAAGAGATAGGTCGGCATACGGGGATGGAGGCTGGTTCCGAGGCAGAGGGCAGATTACTGGCCCTCAGGTGAATCAC